TGATGGAGCCATTTTGTTGAGAGCCGCTGGAATCTTTGCTATAGTCTGTGACAAAAGGATCCTGCTGCTGCCAAGAATTGTATTGATTGCTAATAGGGTGGGTTTTTTAAATTTTAATTTTTAAATAGAGCCACATGTATAGGTAGTCCCCGACTTACATTTAATTCACTTAGCAACTGTTTGAAGGTATAACAACACTGAAAAAAAAAGGAACCTGTGGCTGTTTTTCGCACTCTATGACCATTACAGCATCCCCATGTTCATATGATTTACATTTGGCTGTTTCACAACTGACTCCCGTTTATGACGTTTGCAGTGTCTCGGAGTTGCGATTCCCCCATTTTGTGACCTTCTGATAGCCCAAGTCAATGGGGAAGCCAGATTCACTTAACAACACTCATTTAAAAACTGCAGCGATTCACTTAACAAATGCTGCGCCAAGAAAAGTCATAAAACAGGGCAAAACTCATTTAAGAAATTCGAGAGCCGAGTTCCACGTAATGGGTGAGCTCCCGTTATTTGCCTCAGCTCTTCTCTCCACCTAGCAGTTCGAAAGCATGCAAATGTGAGTGGATGAACAAGTACCACTTTGGTGGGAAAGTAACAGCATTCCATGTGCCTTTGGCGTACAGCCATGCTGGCCATATGACTACGGAAATTGTTTTCGGACAATGCTGCCTCTAAGCCAAAAAGGGGGATGAGCACCATCCCCCAGAGTCAGCCACGACTGGACAGAGTAAATCTTTAGCTTTACTTTATTACCAGAAACATGGAGACCCCTGTTTGAAGGGGCACCTGGAATCACCTGGAAATTCCAGGCAGCAGAATGCAAGTTTCTCACTAGCCTTGGTTGTTGTTTTTTTACCTGCCTTCCATTTTCTTACTGGCACATCCGTGACTTTCCATTCTGGGCTTTTTAATGAGGGATGCTTTCTCCTCTTGTCTTTTCGCAGCCCAAAGGCGCCGAGGCCAAACCCGGAAACAAAGGGAAGAAACTGCTGGGTCAGGGTCCCGTCCACATTACGGCAGGAAGTGACCCTGTCCCCATTGAAGAAGAGGAAGAGGATGAGTTAGACCATGCAACCTTCACCATTGTGAGTCTTCTCTAGGAACAGAATGGAGAAAAGTCAAAGAGGGCTAGTCATTGACCCTAGAAAATCTCCCTTTGACTCAGAGAGCAGCTGCTGTTTAGTTCCCAAATCAGCTTACCTCTTCTTTGTGAAGTTTCAAGGAAAGATGAAAGATACCTTTAACCAATCCCAAAAGATTTAAAAATAGGGAAGGGGGGGTGTCAAAGAAGGGAAAATTGAAAAAGCACAAGGAGAAAGGGGGCAGGGAAGGATACAAGAAAGGACTTCAGACTTTCTTCAGGTCAGAAACAAAGAAACAGGTAGACTTATGACCACAGTTGAGCTCAGAATTTATGTTTGGTAAGTGGGAACTTAGCTAAGTGAATTTTGCTCCCATTTTACGACCTTTCTTGCTATAGTTGCTAAGTGAATCACTGCAGTTGTTAAATTAGTAACATGGTTGTTAAGTGAATCTGGCTTCCCCTCAGATGGTCGCTAAAGGGGATAGCATGACCACAGGACACGGCTACCATCATAAACAGGAACCGGCTGCTAAGCATCCGAACGTAAATCACATGTCCGTGGGGATGCTGCAGAGGTCATAAGGGTGAAAAGAATGGTCACTTTGTTCAGTGCTGTTGTAACTTCGAATGGTCTCTAAATGAACTGTTGTAAGTCAAAGGCTACCTATATAATAAAATAATCTGTTATTCTGGTTCAAAGAAAACGTATCATTCCTTCATCTTAATGAATTATCCTAAAGAAAGATGGGAAATCTCTCGCATAGTCTCCAAGATTTTATGGCTTCCCCAGACAAGCATTAAATCCCATCCTGAAATTTGGGGTAGCTTTCTCTTCCTTGGGGGCTGGATATCGTGTGGGCTCCAGATGTTTCTTTTGGGGCACTTCAGATTCCTTCACTTTCTTGCTTGCTTCCTCTTCTGAGTTAAGACAACTGACATGCTACCAAGCCAAACACTGGTCCCTGGCATATTTATCTCAATAGAAAATCATTTTTCCCCAAACTGGTTTATCTCTAAAACAGGAGAATCATAGATTTGCTGATCGAAAAGGGAGATTCTGTTTTGCAAGAAGGCTGAACCTTCCACTCAAAAGTTATCCACTCTGTAGCATGGTGACTTGTCTTGTGAACAGGGAAGGCCTGTGGCTGGAGCCACAACAGATCCCCTCCCCAAAATTAAAATGGGCCCCTACCCTCAAACGGTTGCCTCAATCAGGGTCTCTCTGTCCTCCTCCTTCCTTCTTATGTGCGACTAATGTAGAGCTTTGCTTTTTCTGTCTCTCTAGTGCAAAGAGCTGATGAGGCCAGTTAAGAAGTCCTTGAAGCAGCTGGATAAGCCAGAAAGAGGACTTACAGACCACGACCAGCTGGAGCAAACACGGAGTTGCCTACTCAAGATCGGAGACCACATTGCTGAATGTTTGAAAATCCACACTGAACAGGAAGTCTTTAACGTATGGAGAAGGTGATTTGTCTGCCCACCAAATCGTCAATCTGTCCCTCTCCCCCCCTCCTCCCTCTCTCTCCAATTTATTTATATTTTTATAATTTTATTTATGGGGTGCTTTTCTTTAACATTCATGAGTGCTTAGTGAACAGTGTATTGTCTGGTTCAATCTACTTTATACACAATACTAATAATAAAACTGTTTAGGTATACATAATAATAATCCTTCAACTTCTAACATCTACATGTACATTGTAATTATAATTATTCTATTATATAGCAGTATGCCTAATAATATTTTCCCAATTTCTACTTTCTATGTCTTTTTTCTAACCCCTAATAAAGCAATTCCTATATTAAGAGGAATTTTGTATCTATCCATCATCTCTTGTTCTTTTTAGTATTTCATTTCTTACTAACTTTTTGACACATCTCCCATGCTCCTCCCTTGGGATCTTGTATCCCCCTTACATAACTCATAATTAGTCTAATTCTTTCATTTGCCTCCACAACTGTCTCTTGCTGTTAAATCTCTAGAGCACCTGTCAGTAACTCTTTCATTACTTCTGGGAGATCTTTCTCTCTATCCTTTTCTATATTTTGACTTCTTGATGAATAATCTTCCTATTCCATTTCAAGCATCTTTACTGTCTCTTCCACATCTTTATCTACTTGTGTCATTTGATGATTTATCTCCTCTATTCTTTCCTCTGCTCCTTCTAATTTCTCCTCTATTTTCTGAATTTTTTGTTCATTATCATTTGCTTAGGGTTTTCTACTCTCACCTGATCATGTATCAGGTCCATCATCTCCCTGTATCTCCTTGTCATAATCTCTCTCTCTCTTGTCCTGATGTTGCAGTCAGACTTGCAGGTCAGGACTCTTTTTGAGTTTGGAGGTATAGGGGAAGAAGAGACAGAACCTGGGGATGGAGTTAAAAGAGGAATCAGCCTAGAATCTCTACATAGCCACAAGCAAACTAAGCCCAACTCCCCTCGAATTCCTACTGAAATGTTACAAATGAGATGCAGTCTCCAATTGTTGAATTGTGTTGAATTCCCCTATATGGAAATACGTCAGAGTGTTAAAAACAAAATCCACATTTTAGTCCAAACTCCTAGAAAACCACGATACAAGCATTTGCAGTAGTCTGCAGTAAGAGAAGTAGCAGAATAAAACATCTCTCCATCACTGTCTGTTTGGGGCAACTCTTTCCTCTGGCATGAAAAGTTTGAACTTTTGGGCCAGGTCATAAAAAGAGAAAATTAAAATTATCTGTTCATCTCCTTTCAGGAATCTATGGGTATTTGTCTCCAAGTTTACTGAATTTAATGCCAAGAAATTACATAAGATATACAAGATGGCTAACAAAAAGCGATCCCGGGAACAGGAGGTAAGAACAGAGGTGTGTGTGTGTTTGTGTTGTGCAGTAGAATGCAAGCGATACAAATATAAATAAAGAGAAGGAAGGAATGGGAACATCTTGTGCAAAAGAAAACCTCAGGAACTAGAGGAATTCTGCTTGAGACTTTTCTGTGAACCTCCAGCTCCTTTTGGCTGGACTTGGCCCTTTATTAATCAATCAGAGTAGAGCTGGAAAGGGACCTTGGAGGTCTTCTAAACCAACCCCCTGCTCAAGCAGGAGACCCTATCCCATCTTGGACAAGTGGCTCTCCAGTCTCCATTGGTGGACTTGCATTGCTTTTTCTTCAAGTTGTCTGCCAAATACAACTGTGTGTGTGTGGGGGGGGGTCCCCTGGGGTGCAAAAAGGGGCTGACCTAGCAAACCTTGATGGTGAAGACATCTTTGGTCACAAATGAGGTATGGGGTAGAAAGACTCCCTTTTTTTTCTTTTTTTGAAAATTTTATTGATTTTTAAAAACAAACATAAACAAACAAAACATAGAACATAAAATCATAAAACATCTTTTTTGAAAGCAGCCTGATCCTGGGTTACATCTCTTCGTGCAGACTTCCGGTTTGCAGGGCTTCGGCGGCAGGCAGGAATCCGCGATCGTGCGCGGTTTCTGCCTGGGCTCGCCACTGGAGTGTCCTGAGCCAGCTGGCTTCGGGGCTAAGCCACCCCATAGAGGTGGTGAAGATGGGGGAGACCCAGCAGGGTCGAGGGGAGCTGCACCTCTCCTCCCCAGCTGGCTAAACTCCCTTTCCCGAAGGTGGTAAGAGCGGCGGTCAGAAATGGCCGCCTCAAAGAAGCACTCAGCCAGAAAAGAAAGTGCAGGAGGAAGTTAAGAAGTGAAAGTTTTTGGCTGACCGGGACAAAAAGTAACAACCAAGGTACCCTGGAATTTAAATTTTACAAAAGATACATCGCTCCCAAAGAAGAGTCGGAAGCAGCGAACGAAAGTGAAAAGGGAAAGTTTTTTTTTTCACTCTCCTTCCTCATGCTGATAACGAGAAGATCTGAATAAAGAAATCGGGAAAATCCGCTTTGGCACCAACAGGTAATTAAACTGGAAATATAATTAAATGCCAAAGGGACAATAAAGATTTCTGAACACTAAAAAAATCTTTTTTTTTTTTGCTATAAGTGGGAAGGGAGAGGAAAAGAATAAGGGCAGGACTTGGAAGGAGGAGACTGCTTGGAATTCAAAAGAATTTAAAGTTAAATCTTAACAAGACTTCTAAACTAAAGGATACATTTTAACTGGAACTTTGCAACTAAATAGTAACCCCAAGAAGAGAAAGTGAAAAAAGAAGAAAGTGTTAAAATAAATAGCTTGTGTGTATTTGGATTGCTTGGTGATTTTGGGACTTTTGGAAATCATATTTGAATGATTAAAAACAATTGGGTGGTCGTTTAAAAAAAACAACAACTCTACAAGGGCATCACCTCTGGATGAACTGAAAATCGAATTTAAAAAATATAAAGAAGAGGAACAAGAAGGGAAGGGCTCCTTTGGCTCCATTTTTCAATTCTTAGAAATGGCGATTGGTGTCTACAAGAAACAACAAGAAAAGACTGCACAACAAGAAGATTGGGACAAAGAAGAAGCCATTTTTAATGAACAAGTAATTCTATCTGGGGAAGAAAAGGGAAAGGGAGGAAAGAGAATGGAGAATTTAAGACCTAAAAAAACAGCCAAAAAAGGGAAAAATAATGTGAAAAGGGGATATAATGTTGGAAAGCAACAGAAAAGGGGAATACAGAAGAGGGAAATGGAGGTGGAGAGACAGGGGGGTAAAAAGGGGAGAGAGAAGAAAGGGAAAAAGGAAGGGAAGAGAAGTTATAAAGGTTTGGAGCAAGATGTAAAGAAACAGGATTTATTCCGAGACAATGGGTGAAAATTTAACTGAAAAAGGGATTCTGTAAAGGTACATAAGATTGTATTGTTACATTTGTAATAGAAATAATGTTAGAAAATTGGAAATAACATATGATTAAAAAGTGGAATAAAATAGTTAGTGTAATTTAGTGAAACTTTTGTAAACAAAATAAACGAAATGAAATAAAAGAGATTTGAATTAGGAAGGGATGGGAACATTTTAACTACTCAACGTTTTATAAAATATAAGTGAAGTGGGAGGGAAGTAATTATGGAAAGTTTATAAGTGTTTCCATAGAAGTATGATACTTATTTGAAAAGTAATCTGTAAAATGTTTAAGATTTAAATGAATATTAATATTAATGATATAATCGAATTGGTATGGATTGTTGTTTTAATTATGTTATATATTTATAATTTTTTTTAAAATACATTGTGTAGTTTTAGAATGTACCAAGCAGAATCCGAATGGAAGTTATGTATAATATTAAGTGTTATAATTTTAGGGGAAAGATATAAAGGCGTCATACTCCAATCAGTGATCACAGGAGAAATTTTGCTTAATGAGAAAAGATAATAGACAGCTGAAACAGGACAGACAAAGAATATAAGTATGATGATTTGAATTGAGATGAAATAAATAAAATTAAGAAAGTTGAAAGAGGGGAGAAGTTATATAGAAAATGTAGAATGGTAATAAGATATGGAATGGAATATAAAAATGAGCATGAATTTGACTTTCCCTTTTCTTTCTGTTTGTTTGTTTAATCCTTTCCTCTAGAAGAGGCCCTACAATATTCTCCAGCGACCTCCCTCCTCCCCAGACCCTGGTTAATAAGACCCAAATCATTATTACTGTTGGTCTTTTGAGTTCTCCGATGATGTTGTCTTTCTGCTCAGCAGGAACAAAAAAAGAAGGAAGAGGCAACGAGTGGCAAGCGGCTTCGTCCAGAAGCTCCTGGGACCAGTCGAGATATTCCGATGTCTCCTGTCCCCCATAGCCCTCATGGTCAAAAACTGCAGCAGCCATCTCCTCACCCTTCCCAGATGCATGGACATCCACGAGAGAACTACCACCAGCCAAATAGAAGGCATTTCAGCCACCCAGGTGAGAGATTACCAGGCCTGTCCCAGCTTGGGCATTTAGGAAGGAAACACTCTCGTCTCCATTTGCAGTCGAGTTGCATTTAGTAAAAGGTGTGCTTTTACTGGAGCCAAGTGGTTAGAGTATAAGCAAAGCTAGATCTGAGGATTCCTGCATAAGCCAGATAATTTTCCCTTTCTTCTCCCTGGTCATTTTTTTTTGGTGTCCAATGTGGGTTAAATTAGTTGTTTTGGTAACAATTCCCAAAGTTTGGTGGGCATTCGCATTCCTTTCTCATGTCGTGTCCTTGGATCGTTCAACCGTTGTCTCTGGTCAGCACTTCTGGTTCCTGTCATCCCCTTCCTATAAAAATAGAATAGAATTTTTTATTGGCCAAGTGTGGTTGGACACACAAGGAATTTGTCTTGGTGCAAATACTCTGTATACATAACAGAAAAGATACATTCATCAAGAGTCAAGAATCATAAGGTACAACACTAAATAATAGTCATAGGGTACAGTAAACAATCAAATCATACTAGGAAACAGTCAATATAAATCATAAGGATACAAGCGACAAAGTTACAGTCATACAGTCACAAGTGGGAGGAGATGGGTGAAAGGAAGGATAGAAGGATTAATAGTAATAGTAGTGCAGACTTTGTAATAGTTGAACAGTGTTGAGGGAATTGTTTGTTTAGCAGAGTTCGGGGGGAAAAACTGTCCTGGTGTCTAGTTGTTCTGGTGTGCAGTGTTCTGTAGCGTTGTTTTGAGGATAGGAGTTGAAACAATGTATGTCCGGGATGTGAGGGGCCTGTAAATATTTTCACAGCCCTCTTTTTGACTCATGCAGTATACAGGTCCTCGATTGAAGGCAGGTTGGTAGTAATTGTTTTTTCTGCAGTCCTAATTCCTCTCTGGAGTCTGTGTCTGTCCTGTTGGGTTGCAGAGCCAAACCAGACAGTTATAGAGGTGCAGATGACAGACTCAATAATTCCTCTCTATAACTGTCTCAGCAGCTTCTTGGGCAGTTTGAGCTTTCTGAGTTGGCACAGAAAGAACATTCTTTGTTGTGCTTTTTTGATGATGTTTTTGATGTTAAGTGTCCATTTTAGGTCTGGTGATATGATAGAACCTAGAAATTTTAAGGTCTCTACTGTTGATACTGTGTTGTCTAGTATTGTAAGAGGTAGTAGTATGGGAGGGTTTCTTCTGAAGTCTACCACCATTTCTACGGTTTTGAGTGTGTTCAGTTCCAGATTGTTCCGGTTACACCACGAGGCAAGTTGTATAACCTCCTGTCTGTATGCGGATTCGTCGTTGTCTCGAATGAGACCAATCACTGTTGTGTCATCAACAAACTTCAGTATTTTGACAGATGGATTGTTTTGAGATGCAGTCATTGGTATATAGGAAGAAGAGAAGTGGAGATAGCACACAGCCTTGGGGGGCCCCTGTGCTGATTGTACAGGTATTGGATGTGATTCTGCCTAGCTTCACCTGCTGCTTCCTGTCACTTAGGAAGTTTATGATCTACTTACAAGTATGTTCAGGTATCACTAGTTGGTTTAATTTACTTAGAAGAATGTCTGGAATGATGGTATTGAATGCTGAACTGAAGTCTACAAAGAGGACCCTTGCGTAGATTCAAGGTGTTGAAGGATGTAATGCAGAGCCATATTAACAGCATCATCTGTCGATCTATTTTCTCGGTATGCAAACTGCATGGGATCTAACAGCGGATCTGTGATGGTTTTCAAATGGGACAGCACAAGCCTTTCAAAGATTTTCGCAACTACAGATGTTAGAGCAACTGGTCTGTAGTCATTCAGTTCCTTGATGAAGGGCTTCTTTGGCACTGGGATGATAGTAGAGCATTTGAGGCAAGAAAGAACATAGTATATTTCTTATGATCTATTGAAGATTCGGGTGAAGATGGGGGCCAATTGCTCAGCACATACTTTTAAGCAAGAAGGAATTCTCTTATCTGGCCCTGGTGCTTTTCCTGGCTTTTGTCTGTGAAATAGATACTGCAATTCTTTTTCTATGATCACCAGAGGTTGTGAACCCAATGGGTTGGGGCCAGTTGTAGGAGGCTTGGCTGTTGTTTGTGTGTTTGAGATGGGAGTTGTGGAGATAGGTGGCTCTAGTTTCCTTTCAAACCTGCAGTAAAACACATTCAGGTCATCTGCTAGTTGTTGATTTCCTTCTGTGTGGGAAGAAGGTTTGCTGTAGCCAGTGATGTTTTTAAGAGTTTTCCACATGTTTGCTGGTTCATTTGTTGAGAACTGATTCCTTAACTTTTCAGAGTAGCTTCTTTTTGCTGCTCTGATCTCTCTTGTTAATATGTTTCTGGCCTGATTGTATAGCATTCTGTCACCTTTTCTGTAGACTTCCTCTTTGGAATGACATAGCTGCTTAAGTTTAGCTGTGAACCAAGGTTTATTGTTACTATATATTTGCAGGTTCCTTGTTGGTACACATAAGTCTTTGCAGAAGCTGACATATGATGTTACAGTATCTGTGAGCTCATCTAGGTCTGCAAAGGTATCTGCAAAAACATTCCAATCAGTGCAATCAAGGCAACCTGGAGCTTCAGCTTTGCCTCATCAGACCAAGTTCTCACTGATTTAATTGTTGGTTTCATGGTTTTAAGTCTTTGTCTGTAGGCAGGTACAAGGTGAATCATGCAGTGATCAGAGTCTCCCATGGTAAAGACCTATAAGCTCATGGTAAAGACCTATAAGCATCTTTTACTGTTGTGTAACAGTGGTCTAAAGTATTTTTGCCTCTGGTGGGACAATTTACATACTGGAAATATTTTGGAAGTTCTTTCCTTAAATTTGCTTGATTGAAATCTCCTAAAATGATGGGAAGGGAATCTGGGTGTTTGGCTTCAGCCTCCTAATTTGATCAGCAAGAGTTTGTAATGTCTTGTTTACACAAGCTTGTGGAGGAACATATACAGCTATTAGGAGAAATGAGGAGAAATGAGGAGAACTCACGTGGAGAATAAAATGGCTTGCAGTTGATATGCAAAGACTCTAAATTTTCATCACAGAATTTATATATTATAGTTATATCCTGAGACCAGCTGTTGTTGATATATAAACATAATCCTACACCCTTTGTTTTACCTGATGTCTCTTCAATTCTGTCTGATCTAAATGTCTGAAATCCTGGGATGTAAATGGTGTTGTCCCCATGAATTTGTGGATTAAGCCAGGTTTCAGTAAAACAAAGAACAGCTGAATTGTGGAAATCAGGATTCCATCTATTTAAGAGATATATTTCATCCATTTTGTTAGCAAGTGAGCATAAATTAGAAAGATTGAAGGGAGAGGAGTTTTTTTCCCCCATTCCTTTTTTTAAAAGTTTTTTTTTTTTTTTACACAAACATAAACAAAACATAAACATAAAACCATCTTTCAATTACATACAGTGTGTCGGTTGGTACAAGTCTTTTGTGCACAATCTCTGTAGTCTTTCCCTTCTAATTTAAATTAATCCTCATACTGTAAATCCACTATATATATTTATATTATTATCATTGTTAATTACTTGCTAGACTGTTACTAATATTCCATTATTTTATGTGAGCAAATCACCATTTTTACTTGGTCTACTTTATAACATTTATTTCATCATCACCAATCTATTCAATAATAATATCCTTACATTACTTTATCTCTTCGATTCTATTATACTTATATTTATAGAGTATTATAAAATATTTCATTTCCCTGTTTTTTAATCTAACCATTGATAAAATAGATCCCATACCTTATAAAATTGTTTATCTTCTTGCTCTCTAATTTCAAATGTCAATTTACTCATTTCTACGCACTCCATTATTTTCTTAATAACTTCTTCTTCCATTGGAATTTTCTAATTTTTCCAGTTTTTAGAAAATACAATTCTAGCTGCTGTTAATACATTTATAATCAAATATATCAATTCTCTACTGCATAATTCAGGTATGATGCCCAATAAAAATATCTCTGGTTTTAAATCTATGTGCTTTTTTGTCATTTTTTCCAACCATGTGTGGATTTTAGTCCAATATCTTTTAGTCTCTGCACAGGTCCACCACATATGGTAGTATGATCCAGGTATCTGATGACACTTCCAACATTTCTCCGACTTGTTCTTGAACATTCTTGCTGGGGGTAAATGCCACCTTTAAAACATCTTATAGAAATTCTCTTTATATGCTGTTGACATTGTCATTTTATAATTTCGTGACCATAATTTCTGCCATCTGTCTAGATCTATCCCATATCCAAAATTCTTTCCCAATGCAATCATTGTTTCTTTACTTGTTCTTCTTCTAGCTTAACCTCTAATAAATATCCATATATTTTTAATCACCTTTTCATCAGTACCTGTCAAGATTTTATCTAACTCAGTTAATTTATTATAAAAACCTTCTGTTATAGAGTTTATCATATCCAGAATGTATTTGCACATATGAAAACCAATTCATCCTTATTTCTTGTTCCTCTAGTTCTTGCATAGATTTAAGTTCACCATTTTTATTCAAAATTTCGCCATATCTAACTGTTTGTTCCATTTTATAGATTACTGGATATGCAAATGCTTCAATAGTTGACAACCAGACTGGTATTTTAAATAATGTTGTCTTTTAATTTTCTCCCATATTAATAGTAAAGCCTCTCGTATATAGTGCCTCCTAAAATACCATGTGTTTTAGTCCCCTTGTACCATAAGAAGGCATGCCATCCCAGCAACAAGTCATGACCCAATTGGGTAGGCCAAAGCCTCCTCTTGTTCTAGAATCTTGTAATAATTTTAATTTAATTCTCGACTTCTTTCCCTGCCAAATATATTTCAATACTATTTTATTTAAGTCTTCAAAATAGTATTTCCCTAATTTAATTGGAATTGTCTGGAACAAATATAGAATCCTTGGTAATATATTCATCTTAATTGTGGATATTCTCCCTATTAAAGATAATTGCAAAATTTTCCATTTTGCCAGGTCTGTCACAATCTGTTGCTTGCGTTTGTGGTAATTATCCTCTTTCAGTGTACCACATCTAGCTTTTAAATATATTCCTAGGTATTTAACTTTATTTGTGACCTGGATCGTCAAAGTCTCTGCCAACTCTTTCTTTCGTTTTTCAACTATGTTCTTCGTCAATATCTTCATTTTGTCTTTAATTTTCAAGCCTGCCACATATCCATATTCCTCAATCTTTTCTATCAATTTAGGCTCTGTTTCTAATGGATCCTCCAAAATAAACACCAGGTCATCTGCAAATGCTTGTAGTTTATATCCTTCCCTCTTAATTTTCATTCCCTTTATTTCCCTATCTTCTCTAGTGTTTCTGTTTAGTACCTCCAATGTCAGCACAAACAACAGAGGTGATAGCGGGCAACCTTGCCTAGTTCCTTTCTTAATATCAATATTTTCTGTTAACTCTCAATTTATCATCACCTTTGCTGATTGTCTATGATATATTGCTTCAATGGCTTGAATAAATTTCACACCAAAGCCCATCTGCTCCAATTGTAATAACATAAACCACCAATTCACATTATCAAAGGCTTTTTGTGCATCTAAAAATATCAAAGCCATTAGCTTCTCCGGATGTGCCTCATAGTATTCCAAAGTGTCCAAAATTATTCTCATGTTATCTTTAATTTGTCTCTTTGCAGAAATCCATTTTGATCAGAGTGTATAAAATTGTTCAGGTATCTTTTGAGTCTTTCTGCCATTATTGAAGCGAAGATTTTGTAATCTGAGTTTAACAAAGAAATAAGTCTATAATTCTTGATTTGTTGTGGGTCAGCGTCCTCCTTTGGTACAAGAGCCTCTGACCATGAATTAGGTATTTTCTTCTTTGACATGACTTCATTCATCACTTCAAATAACGGGAGACTTAAAAATTCCTTCTTTATCTCTTACATCTAAGCATTCAGCTGGTAATCCATCTGGGCCTGGTGCCATTCCGTTATTTTGTTTTTTTTAATGCTTCAGTTAATTCCATCATCGTTATGTTCCCTTCTAACATCATTTCAATGTCATTAGGTATTTGGGGTAACATCGCCTTTGGCATGTATTGTTTAATATTTTCCTCTTGCTCATATAATTTCTCTTGCTCATATAATTTTCCATAATAGTCCTGTATGATTTTTTTCTTCTCTTCATTTCCATAGCAGATCTTTCCTTGGTCATCTATCAGTTGCATTTTCAAGTCTCTCTCTCTCTTTAATTTATATGCTAACCATCTACCTGGTTTATTTGCGTCTTTGAAATAATTCTGTTTAGCACTCTAATTTTCTGTGCTAATTCTTCTTTTTCCATTAACCCCATTTATGTTTAATTGTGTCCATTTGAATTTAAATGTCCTTTTTGTGGATATTTCTGTAACTCCTTCTCAAGTCTCCTATGGTCTTCCTCTAATATCTGCAACATTTGTCTTTTCTTTATGTTTCCTTTTCTGTGATTTATAATCTAATTTCACATCCGCTATTCCATTAAATTCTCCCATAATGCACCTTTCTTAATTAACATTTTTGTCAAGAATTGATATTCTCTTCTCATCTCTCTGACTCTCCTCGGTACTTGTTTCACCACACAATCTCCTTATCTTTATATTTCAATGTTTTCTCTCTTGCACACTGTAATATTTAAGTTTTGATTGCTTTCTTCGTGAATCTTACATGGACTTCTCTAGGTAGTTTTTTCTCATTGCATATCTTGTAAAGACTCAGAACATCTCATCTATTCTATCCATCATTTTTTTCTTTAGTTATCTCCAAAGCATCTGCTAATATATCTGTCATTATTTCTGCCAGGTTTTCTCCCTTTTCTTCTTCTATATTTTGGAATCTGAGATAAAATTCTGCCCTGTCAATCTCCCATCCGAGCATTCCACTTTTCTCCTGTTCAACCACACTCAATCTGCTGTCAATATCACCAATTTTCTTATCTCTTTGTTCATCCTTTTTTTCAATTTTCTGGAATCTATCCTCATACTTCATCATTTGTTGAATATTCTCAATCTTTTCATCTGTATTTTGTTCAATCTTCTCTGTTCTTTGTTCTATTTTTTGAATTCCTTGCATAATCATCTGTAATGTAACTTTTTTTCCTTCTCTCTTTCTTTCTCCTGCTGTAACATCATCTGTATTGATCGCTGTCCTCCAAGTGGTGAAGAGGAAGAAGTTGGTATTGAGGATCCTGTAGCAGATATCTTCCTACTCATTTCCAGTCAGTTGCAGATCTGTTCACTAACAGTTCCCAAGCAACAATAAAAAATCTTCAGGTTCTTCAGTACCTTAATCCACTTATGTAGGAAACAAAATTGAGAAATTAGAAACAACAGTAAAAAAACTTCAGGTTCTTCTACACCCTAATCCAATTAGATAGGAAGAGATTGACAGGCCACCAACACCAATAAAATCTTCAGGTTTTTCTATACCATAATCCAATTGAATGGGGAGGAGTATGCCTAGTAAATAATTAAACAATCTCCAAAGAGAAAAAGAAGGAAAAAGTAAGTGAAAATGATGTTTCCCAGTTAGGGAAAAAGAAAAGAAAAAGGATACATACTAAAGAAAAAAGAAAAGAAAATGCATTCTTCAGGAGGCACAAAAGACACAAAAGTAAACACTAATACTAATAGTTATTTAAAAAGTTCCAATTTAAAATAAAAAGAATTCCATTAAAAAGCAAAAGAAAATTAAAAGAGAAAAAAAATTTCTGCTCCAATACAAAATAAAGCTCCTAGTTATGTGAATGAAAAAAGAAAAAGAATCCCATCAAGAAGGCTAAACAGGCACAGATGCCAGCTAAAAACTAAAAACAAAGGAGGAAAAGTAGGGGGGAAAAAAAAGAACTTTCTGTCACAAAGTAAAACACTGCCACAGTACAATGTCCAAGGCTCTCTTGTCAGAATCCAAACAAATTTATTCCAGGCTCTTTTTCAAGGTCACTATAATCTCTTTCAACTCCAGACTCCAGCCAGTTTACCAGAAGAGCACCCGCAATAACATTCTTCCATGCTCATCCCACTATCTTGTTAAAGCACATAAACAGACAGGCTGAAAAGTCCTTGAAGTAAAATTCTAAGTCCCTTTATACTCAATTAAAAAAACAATGTATTCAAGCCTCTGGGTGGCAGTGTTACTTAGTATACTCTACTTTCTCTTTATAACCAGGACAAAGAAAAAAAGTTTAAAAGTCCTTTTTTTGAACTAAAACCAAATAAAACTATAAAGTAAAGTAAAAAAAAAATTTCTCCCTTTCACAAAAATTATTGCTTAACAGTAAAAAAGAAAAACCAGTCCAGTTTGTAGTTAAAGTCTTTTGGCGTCCATAATAAAATCCAGCAAAAAAAACCCGATCAAAAAAACCCCCACTTAGTTTGACTTCAAGCTTGTTTTCGCTGCCTATCCTCTTCTGTCTTCACTTTTCAAATTTTCCTTTACCCCCTTTGGGTGTTCTTTCCCCAAAAATAGTATTTAAAAATATCTCACCAAAGCGACACACTTTCTTTCCTTCTTTCTTCCATTCCAGAGCTGTCCCAACTTTCAGCAACTTCAATTCTCCGCCGCCGGAAAAGAGAGCTTCTCCTGGATCAACCAGGGACTATTCCCCTATTCCTTAGTCTGTTTACAATTCCTGCTCATTTACCTCGTCTCCTTTTTCGGCGCTGCCGCTTCTTTGCTTTCTTTGTTGTAATCCATAGCACTGGGGAGTTAGTTAGAATTTCCTCCGTGATGGCAAAGAGGGGGGTGGGTGAGGAATCAGAAAGCTGCTCCTTAAGAAAACATTGCCTAATTCTTAGCAGATGGTCTCATAAGTATGAAATTCATAGTGAATTGCAGATAATAATAAAGAATAAAGAAACCATTAGAGAGCATTTCACTGAGGCACCTGTCATCAGCGCCATCTTGGAAACATATGTGCATTCCCCCATCCCCATATTAGAATAGAATAGAATAACAGAGTTGGAAGGGACCTTGGAGGTCTTCTAGTCCACCCCCCTGTTTAGGCAGGAAACCCTACATCACTTCAGACAAATGGTTATCCAACAAATGGTTATCCAACATATCCAACATATTTTTAAAAACCGTCAAAGTAAAGCAGGGGTGAAGCGGTGTGATGGCAGATCTTCTTGAAGACCATAGAAGCTCTGCCCTTCTTCCTGATGTCCCATCTAGCTTCCTGGGATGGGGGAAGGGGGCAATGCATGACTATCCTTGGCCCCCTTACTGGAACCACATGGACTACACAATTCAGGACTCCCAGTTTAACTCTGGATGGGCTGTTCCTGTTATGGATGCTTTGATTATTGTGTTATTGTTCCTCCTCCTCATTTTTCTTATTCTCTTAAAAAGGAGATGATAAAAATCAAATGAATAGTAGACAAAGGCAGAAGTACAGATAGTGAATACCAGTTGGGCTTCTTGTGAAAGAGTGCTACCTTCTTCCCCTTCCTTGTCATGCAGAACGAAGCGAATGGCAGAGGGATCGCAAATTTAACTACAGTGGCAATGCCAATACGAATTGGGGCAGAAACCGTTATCACCCATATGAGCCGCGCTGGCACAAGGATCATCATTATGCGGATCGCCAGGCGCGCAGAGAACAGTATCGGAGCTCAGGAAACTACCAGCCCAGCAACCTGTCTCGTAAACGCCCCTACGATCAGTACAACAGTGAACGCAATTACCGCGGAGAACCGGACTACAGGTGAGGTGCTAAGCAGGCCATTCAGCTAGTCTATGGTGTTTCTGCAGGAGTCAGCATGCCAAAAACAGTGAATGGTGTTTGTCAGCCAGATCATGGAATGGAGTTTGCAAGGACTACTTGAACTGTAGGGTTGGTAGGATTTAAATAGCAAAAGCAATTAAGCGGCCAAATAGCTTATTTGCTGGGGTTGTGGGTGCTCCATTGGTAGAGGATTTCGAAAATAGGCTGGACAACCATTTGATTGGGACAGTATGAGGCTTCTGCCTTGACCAGGGGTTGGACTAGAAGACCTCCAAGTTTGCTTCCATCCCTATGATTTCTCACAGCCTTTCCTTCTCCAGGACACAGTTGCTGCATTCCTTCATTGGAGGTATCTCTGCACCCTTCAACCACGTTCTAGATTTGCATTGTGAGCTCTGTCCATTTTTCGAAGTATATGTAATATGACCCACAATGTAAAGCATATAGGCTTGGGCTCCAACCCTGCTGTTGTCCATCTTCTTTCCTTCCCCTAGTGTCTAGATACTGGGGAACTGGGCTGACATTCCTGTTCTCTTCTTCCATGCCTTTGCCACCAGAGGGACTTAAGCATCCCAAGACCTAGATAGGGTCATCTTTGCCTCTTTTGTTGAGTTGAATGTTTTGTGTTCTTCTTTCCCCTCCAGATACTGTCATGAAGCCAAGAGACGAAGATTAGATGGATTCCGGCCCCAGAATTACCAACAAGATTATCGGAGGATGTCTGACTATAGACCTCCCTTGAGTTATCATGGGCAAGGGCCATCCGACCATTACAGGCCTTTCCACCAAGATAAATCAGCTGATTACAAGCAACTCCTTCCCCCTCCTCACTCCCAGGTCTCTGACCCTCGCTCTCCAGCTTCTCAGAAATCTCCACTTGGTGCCAAGTCTCCCATTCAGCATCGCTCACCTCTGGATAGGCCCTTAGAGCAGAAAAACAATCCAGATTATAACTGGAGTAGTCGGAAAACCTAGAGTCCCAGAAGCAGAGGCCAACGGAAAGAGCTAGTCCGGCCCAAGGAAACACCAGTTATAGGGCCATCAATGCTGGAACCAGAAAGCCTGAATACAGTGCTGTAGAGCTTTGGGCTGTAAGAATTGGAAGGGGGTCAGAAAAACTGGATCCACCAGGGAGCCTGAACTTTAGCCCCAGATTTGCCTTCCATCAGGATACTGGCTGGATGTTGGGAGGGGTCTTCCCTGCACCAAGAGATCTGTAGAGAACAAGGTCAGGTCTACCACCTACGTTTTGGAATGAAGATTTTGGGTTTGTGTCCATAATGCCAACTTGAATTCTGGACATTTCACAGAATGGACAGACAGGCTGCAAAGGGTACAGACGGAGGCAAAAGCTATATGGTTTTGGAGTTCAGGTTCAATTGGCTGCTGGAAGGGGATGATAAAGAAGACCACAATAGCTATAGCTGTTGAACAAAAAATTGGCATCAGGGAGGGCAGGAGTGAGACTGATTTTTCAGAATGGTGAAACCAACTTTTGATGAAAATGCTTGGAACTCTTACTGAAGAGATTTGGAAGTCTATGGACTTAAGATTGACGGAAGCCAGAAAACGAAACAAAAGAAGAAGAAGGAATGGTTTATGGTCCCTCCCTCCTCTTAGCTTCTCCGTGCTTTTCTTTGCCTTAACAATTTTGGGACTTCGAGCAGCACTATGTGAACCAAGTAGAGCTGTGGAGAAAGAACAGTTTTTAAATGGTGGCAGAACTTTCATTTCCATGGTTGTGAAGGAGCGAGAAGGACAGTATGTCCATGACATTGGGAGACTTCAGTATTCAGAATTTGACCGTAGAGCTCCTGTTTTTTTTTCTTCTCCTTCTCATGATCCATGGGAACACCAGGGATTCAGCTTGGAGAAAGGAGCCGAGAGGAGGGTCCACCTCAGACAGGATTCCATGAACATCTCAAGATGGTCAACTTCGCACTTCTGGTTAGAAAGGTTCAAAAAACCCCATGGTTGTCATCCATAGAAAAGAGACACCAATGAACTAAGCAAGATGAAGGAAGCCTCGCATTGAGTGAAGAGAAACATGGAGTTTTGTCCCACAGGGAATTTTTATACACAGGTGGCAAAGATCTGAGTCATAATTATACTTCGATGATCTGTCTCAGCAGCATCTTCTAAAAAAAAAAAAAAATAAGCAACTCCAACAGATATTTCTCTCTGTCTCCCCCCACCCCCGCCCAAAATATATATATGTGGGCAGTTGTGAGCACTTAGCCCCAAATCCATTGCTTTGGGTTAAATTTATTGCTTTTAAAAATGAAATGGCCAAATACATGCGGAAAATAGCCTCCCTGTGTTTATCACCTTTCAAATGAATTTTGTGCCCCTGGCAACAATCCTGAGCCATAATTTTTGATATTTCACTGCCAAGTCATTTCGATAAGTGTTAAAACTTGATTGGTGAAATAAGAAGGAAACAATCAGACCAAGTGTTTGTCTTCTAAGTTTCTAGAGGGGCGTTTTTTTATGTTTGTCCATGCGTGTGTCATATACTTTTTCTATTACATCTCACCTGTTAATTGTGATTGCAGAAAAGACACTATAGAGTTTTTTCCAAGGTCCTTTTATTTTTACCCAGGGTGGTTGACTAAATGTGAATTCCAAATATATCCAACAGGAAAGGGAAGCCAAGAATTCTATCTTGTTAGTTAATTAGAACAATTCTTTCACTCCTTAGCTCTGACAGGTTCTTTAATTGTTTCTTAATTAGAATAGAATTAATTAGAATGGTTACTATTTCATTCCTAAATTTTCCCATGAGGGCAAAATATTTCTTAAATAAATTTAAATTTTCCTGTGAGGGCAAAATATTTTTGGACTAGTTTTCAAGTAGTTGCTTTCAAACTTAATTTCTTGTAGTTTCCTTAATTGCTAATTAATTATAACACAATTAATTAGAATAGTTACTATTTCACTCAAAACTTCTGACATTCCCCTCCCTATAAGGGCAAAATATTTTTGGACCGATAGTTTTCAAATTGGATACATTCAGTCTTAATTTCTGATAATTTTCTTAATGGTTACTTAATTGCAATATAATTAATTAGAATAGTTACTATTTTATCCATAATTTCTGACATGTTCCCATAAAGGTAAAATATATTTGGACCAATAGTTTTCCGGTGGGATACTTTCACTCTTCTCATATGTTCCTTAATTGTTACTTAATTAGTATAGCTACTCTTTCACCCGTAAGTTCTGATATCTTTGTAATTGTTACTTAATTAGAATAGTTGTTATTTGGCCCCTAAGTTCTAATATGTTTTTGATTGTTCTGCCTTTTTCCTGTAAGGTTGAAATGCATTTGGGCCCCATAATTTTAGGAGGGGATATTTTTGCAATGGGATTGTGAGCGTTAGATGAAATAATAACTCCAGAATGTTTCTATGTTCTCTTCTTGCCCGGGTTAAGAATTACAAAATGCTGGTGGGAGGGTGAATTCTGGGTTTGTGCCTAATTTGAGGCAATTATGAAGGTTTATTGGAAGATTGAAGGAGAAGTTTCTGGCTGTTTGGTTTCTACCAGTCATCCAGCTACAATAACCCTACTTGATGCAATTTTGCATCTCCCCCTGGGGTAAAAGAAATTTGGTGCATAAAGCCATGGACTTAAAGGGAAAATGAAATCCCTATGATTAAGTACAGTAATTAATATTAATTTATATTTGTGACAAAGGAATTTGTCACTGTCGAAGTGATTTCCGATGTAAATATGTGGTTTATAAAGTATGTATTAATTTTTTTCTATGGTTAAGCTCCTGTACTTTGGATTGTTGTACACTAAAAGTTGAATTTTTCAGAAATTGGAATTTCCGTCTCTCTCTCTCTCTCTTTTTTTTTTTTTTTTCAAATAGTTGTCCCTGAAGTTATTTAACTGATGGTTTTCTTGTTTTGAAAATACTGAAGAGTTTTATTACTTCAGCTTAAAAGCCTGATTCTAGATAGTGAAGACAAAATCTTCCTCAGTCATTTCTTCTTCTTCACTTCCTTTTTTCATATTGCTTCACATTTTTTGGATTTATCTTTTCTTTTTGCTTCTGACATCAAATTGATCTCTTCTCTGAAAAGTATCCAGTACTTTGGAAAAAATCTCAATGCAGGAATTGGAAAATAGACCAACAGTTATACATGACCTAGGTATCTTCTCCATGACAAATCTATTCTAAATGAAAGCTGATGACACATTTTTTTATTTTTTTATTGATCTTTGGTTTTCTGAAGTTGGTAATTATTTTGGCAGCAAGGTGAGCTGGGTTTTACAGTGAACTAGCCAATTCAACAAACACAACAAATGTGATCTGGTTCATGCTATTTTTTTTGTCCTGAAGATCGCATCAACAGAAATTCAGGACTGTGTTATTGGGAAGAAAAAGAAATTTATTTCCGGTTTTTTAAAATCAATAAATAATTTACAATATTTACATCACAACACCCCATACAATTTCCACACATATGCAATAAGCTGGAAAGGGAGGCAGTGTGTTTGTTATACACTTTCCATGTCTTTATTCAGATATTCATTCGGAGCCTCTTGGGTTTTCATAGGCTGAATTCACTCAGAAGCAGGGGTGGGATTCTATCAGTTCGCACCTATTCGCTAGAACCGGTTGTTAACATTCTAAGCAGTTCGGAGAACCGGTTGCTAGAAGAAATTACTGGCCTAATCCTGTAAGGAAGGCAGGAAGGAAACATTCTGGTGTTGCTTACAGAAACTGCCTCTCCGTTAACCCTTTTTACATTCTTGGCAGGACTAGACTTCCTGTCTCAGGAACTTCTCTGGAGTTTTTTCCCCCTCCTTTGCTGGTACTTTGCTTGTGTGGAGTGACCATTCAAAGTTACAATGGCATTGAAAAAAGTGACTTATGACCATTTTTCACACTTAAGACTGTTGCAGCATCCCCACAGTCATGAGAGGCCAGGAGAGGAGATGCGTGCCTCGATGTGAGTGATGTTGAGTTGGCCACGCCCAGCCAGTCACATGACCACCAAGCCACGTCCACCCGGTCACATGACCACCAAGCCACACCCACCACCTAAGCCACACCCACAGAACCAGTTGTTAAAAAAATTGAATCCCATCCCTGTGCAGGGCCCACACAGAGGCTTGGGGAGGTCGAAAAACAGGCCTCTCAGAGGCTCCGGAAGACTGGAAATGGGCCTGTTTCCAGCTTCCAGAGAGCCTCCGGAGCCCGGGGAGGGCAAAAACACCCCCCCTGCCGTGGTGCAGGAGGCCGACTAGGCCATGCCCACCCAGCAACCAGGCAGTGAACCGGTTGCTAATTTTTTTGAAGCCCACCCCTGCTCAGAAGCCAAAATATGACTGAAGATCATGCAAATTAAAGTGGTTTGTTAATAATTAGAGGGTTAAGAAACAATATTGCAACATCTGGGAAATGGTTGTAGTCAGAGAAATAAGGTTTTTTTTAAATCAAGTTGTTTTTATAATCTACACATACATAGCAATACATAAACAATGTGGTATCAATACATCATACATTTTAATGTAAACAAAATTAATAACAATCATATCTCTTAATACACGTATTCGCATTAAATCATAATCCTTTATTGCTTATTTTCAGCATTGCAATACTCGCTCCTAGTGCCAACCACCATATCATTTAAACATTTCTAGTAATTTCATTATTCAATTTCCTCTCCTATTTTTTATTTTTTAAATAAAAATTCTAAGAGAAATAAGTTGAGAATGAAAGATGACAATTGGTTAAGGAAAAACTTCCGATTTGTTACATTTTACTGTTCAATAATTTGATTTATGAAATGCTAAAATGAAATACCATTTTGATAATAGCCAGTTAATTTGCATTAAAAAAAAACCCCTCCTCTTGTAGTGACGTCATTGATTGGGGGTTCTAGGAGTTGTAGTTAGCATGGGTTGTGAGGTAAACCAGGGGTCTCCAACCTTGGCAACTTTAAGACTTGTGGACTTCAACTCCCAGAGTTCCTCAGCCAGCAAAGCTGGCTGAGGAACTCTGGGAGTTGAAGTCCACAAGTCTTAAAGTTGCCAAGGTTGGAGACCCCTGAGGTAAACCATTTCTGAGGAGAATTTCATGTGAAGGGCGAATTCTCACCTTCATTGCAAACAGGGTGATAACTCAGGTTTCCATTGCTGAACTTTTAAATTCAGCCAAAGACTTCTATATAGGGTTTATCCAGTTTATCCTAAATCCTTGTCAGCCGGATCTCCAGCACGGTGTTTCCCTTTGATGCTTGCTTGCTATCAGCTGCCATAGTAATGAGGAGCGGGGGCATGGCATTGCGGTTTGGGAAGTGAGCTGGTGTGATGAAGGACCATATGAACTAAAAGGGAGGTTTGCTGTCAAGAATTACTCCGCTGCTGAATGGAGTTATTTACAGCCAGTCAAGGCCAACCGTCCTAGAACTCCATATGGACAAAAACACCTGAAGATATGCTCCACATGGCACTATCCGGGACATGGATTGGACATTCAGCTGGGTCCCTGGGGGAAGGGATGTGGGAAACTTTCAATATGTAACTTTTGTGCCTTTGGCTCAGTTCTTGCTTTCCTTTCGCCACTATCATTTCAAACTCTGTAAATGTACCTCTTCTCTACTTCAATGCAATCGGGTGTTGTGGTTCGCCAGCAGTCGGTGCAGATGACAGCGGAATCGGAAAGGAGGAAAGGGAACCAGTCAGGGAGTCTGGAGAGGACCTGGACGCGGGTCCTGCGTCTGATGCAGGGATGGGGCCAGGACCATCTAGGAGCGGGGTGCTGCCTTCGGAGCCTTCAGAGTCTGGCAGCAGCGAGGCAGAGGACCCAGGGGAGCCTGTTCCCAGTGCACGTGTGTGCAGAGCTGCTAGAAGGCGAGAGCAGCTGAAACAGAAGAGGCAACTCAGGAGTAAGGCTGGGAGGTGATTGCCCTCCCATGAAGGATAAAAGTCAGACCTCAATGACGAAAACTTTGCAGGAAGTAAAGTAGTTCGATAGATTCCGAGTCCTCTTGGAAGCTCTGTGTACTGGTTAGTTTTTTCTGGTACTTGATTTCTGTTATACTTCTGGTTTTGGCAACATTCCACAGCACTGAAAGGAGTGTGCTTATCTTGGGGGACTGTTTATAATTAGTTCTGGCTGGGAATGCACGTATTTCCCAGCATTGCAATAAAATAGGTTTTGCTTTTAAAACAAGTTTAGTATTAATTCTGTTTGACAAAGCTGGGTCAGAATATCAGGATTTTTTTCTTTCTTCGGTTATGAATGGAGGCAGGCCTGACATTCCAACTTTGGCAACAATATATATTTTAAAAAATCACATTGTATTTCTTCTATTACAGCTTGGAAGAAGCTGCAAGAGATAATTGATGGACATTTGGAAAACCTGTCTTGGACTTTTGCGTTAATGGATTGTGTTTCAGAATTGAATGGAAATGGGTGCCATAAGTTTATCCAAGCATGCATGAATTATGGAAGGCAAGCTGATCTTCACTCTTCAGAGTCATTCATCCCTGGGATCTACTTACCATCTAGGATTTTTACTCTTAGCCAACTTGCCTGAAATGCCACCTAAATACAATCAATAGTGATAAAACCTGGCAACCAGGCACTGTGTGGAGAGAATTCACCCCCTCCCACACAATAATAAGCTATGTAATGAAATGAAAATTATGGCAGCCAACCTGGGACATCTATTGAACTAGTACCGAGTCAGATTTCCTATCTATCTTCTCCAAATATATTGGGGTATCCACCGTAAAATCAAAAATATAGTAACGATAGAACTCACCTGTTTTCACAGAATCTCACCTGTCTTGTGATTTCATTACAGATGCAATTATATAGTGATGTTTGTGGTATCATTTAAGCTTCTTTTGAACACCTACAAGAAATTGGAAAATCTGTCTAGATTACAAGTTTGCAATAACTTTCAGAGCAATTAGAGTTACAACTTTAGACAATGGAAGAATGTAAGGATCTTGGTGGAGACAATACAGAAGGTCCTGAACTTACAACCATTCATTTAGTGACCAAAAGGAAGTGAGCTAAATGTGGGCAGAGAGAGACATCCATCTGAACTTTGTAGACATCTTAAAATGTGGGAAGAGAGCACCCGGTCTCCCCCACGTCCCTCTCTAAGTAGCCCCAATTCGGTTTCCTCAAACTGACACAAAGCAATGGAGAAGACAATCATGTCCACTGATGAACCAATCATGAAGAGAAGTAATAAAAGTATTCCTTTAAATATTTTAGGAAGGAAGCAGGTGAATCCCATCTCTTTGCTCACTCACACTGAACCAACACAACTCTCTATGTAGCATAACAAGCAAATATCTGCATCCAGTGGCTACACTCTTGTGTCTCTTTGCTGAATGGGTATTATTGCCCACGATGAAACTGGGGTGAAAGGGGCAGAGTCAGACAATGACTTTAGGTTTCCCTAAAACTTGCATGTTGTCAATATACACAGCAAACACACCCACCCGATATGTCCCCAAGAATGGGAATACACCCACTATGGTGTATTCAAAATAGACAGGGATCAGGATCAGTTTTAGGATGGGAGACTTCTCATCTGGCACCTTGACCTAAACCCAACATAATGATTCAGAGATTCCTTAGCTCAGGTGTTGCCAAAGAAAAACACGGACCTAAAGAAGCTGCATTTTGTAAAATGGTATTTCCAGAATACTGAGGCAGACCTTCCACCTCCACCTTCATCCCTCGAATAAAACAATGGCATTGTTTATGAGGCCTACCCACCTGTGGGAAACGCAAACAAATTCCTTGTGTGTTCAATCACACTTCGCTAATAAAGAATTCTAATAAATATTATACTCTAATAAAGAATATAATATAAGACCTGAATGATACAGTAATGCCATCAAATCAGCAGGCAGCCTTCTGAGCAGGGGGACTAACCAGAACAACTCACCATGCCCTCTGCAGAAGCAGGAAGGGACAAGTCATTGGGGAAGAAGGTGTAATTGCGGTCTGAAAACCAACACCACTGAAAAAGATGTTCCAGCTCTCCTATGGATTGGCATGGTTTGTTTTCCAAAAATGAAAGACTTGAGGATTATGCAATCCAGAAGATTTGTACCTAGAGGTGGCATGGACATATACTGACAGTTCCCTGGCTTATTTCCTAAGAACCAGAACAGGAGTGGACATCCTGCCTTTATTACTTTTATAATTAGCTCCATGCAGTGAACATACTTAATACTCCTCCTGTTTTTCCCACAACAATCCCGTGAGGTTGGTTGGGCTGAGAAGGAGTGACTGGTCCCAAGTCATCCAGCTGGCTTTCATGTCTAAGGCAGGACTAGAAATCCAGTCTACTAGTCTCTAGGCCAACATCTGAAGCATAGACCAGATTGGCTGTCTGACAGTTGGGAGTTAGAACTTGGAACCCAGGGATGAAGGCAGTTAAGGGAGGGGGCTTCTTATTGGTCCTACTATGAGTAGCCCCCACCACTCGAGTTTCAGTTATTACTAAGGATTGTGGGAACTGAGCAGTTTGAATTTGGCCAAGCTGTGGAACAGGCACACTTTCTGTGTGGCTCTTTGTCAGTTGGCCCAGTTCAGCATTTCAGGTTTTCAAATCCTGCCTTTCCATTTGGACAGGCTGGCAAATAAATTTCGGGTTATTTGTTTCATTGTTTTTTCAAATAGTAGACAGTTAAATAATATAGGTAGAGGGGTTTGGGTTTGGGTGGTGGTGGTGGGGTGGGGTGAGGTTGGTAGTTTGGCATTCAGAAGTTCTCCTAAAGGAGCTGCCTTGGTAGTCATGGCTGAACATGAGACATCTACCTCCCCAAAGGTAAATAATCCTGGTGGGATAACTTCTACTTTTGTTGTAAGGTATTAGATGCCAGTAGCTTTTAGTTTGCAGCATGTTCGTCCTTGATACCTGTTCCTTCCGGATCCTTTTAAAAGGTCAGATGAGTCTTTGAACTAGGGACAGATCGAAGAAAGATTTCTGTACCTCATCTTGGCTGCACCAGGGATAAAAAGCTACTTTGATTCTCCTTGGGATGTCATTTGAAATTGGCAGAGATTTAACTCAATCCAAGTCATTTCCATATCAGAAGTTCAGAAGGACACAATTAAATATTTCATATTGGTGTGTGTCTGATTGCACTCTTGCCCCTGCTTCTAGG